GACCATAGAGGTCCGCTTTCTTTTCCCGTCACCAAAATAGGTCTAATCCCTATCCTCCTTACACATTCTCACTTACTTTGTATGCAATATGAGTTTGGTAGCGATCAGTGAAGTTCGCTTCACTGTAGTAAGCTGTACGATAATGATGATGAGACAACACCTTCACTGTCAGTCAGACCCGTTGACTATGAATGGAGAGACAGTTATCTGTTACATTCAGACGAGGCATGAAGAAATGCACAGAGCGATTAGGTAGAGTAGGTGTCTCTCGCCTTCCAGGTTGGGGCCCGGAAGACCCCACAACTGGTTGGTTGGAGACATTGANACTCCATAACTGGTTGGTTGGATACACTGAAGGATATGGCAGCGAACCGGCAGCAGTGGTGTTCTTGTTATCGTTTCTTATCAGGTCAGAATGCTTCAAACGGTATGCATGCAGAGTTCGATTGCGTACTCTGTGTTGACCATAGTGGCTCATCTTCTTCTCCCTCCCTCAAAATAGATCTAATCCCTGTCCACCTTAAATTTTACCACTAGCCGTGTATGCGTTGCAGGTTTCGCAGCAATCAGCGAAGTTCGCTTCACTGTAGTTCGCTAAACGATGATGATGATGATGATGATGATGATGTGTTACATTGAATCGAAATTTAATTGGATTAATAGGGATTCGCGTGTTATTATCAAGTTTCAAGGTTAATCACTCAAAATCATTAGTACAATATCATTTCACACAACTACTTAAACGTAACTGATTTGAAATGGGAAATACTGTTTATCATTGTTATTCCGGTCTGAATCCGGTAGAGAGCCAACACCATGCAGGACAGAAACTGAGAGGAAACAAAAAGTTCGTTTTCTCTTCCACGGCTCTCATTGTTCGGAGCTGTTTTTTGCTACTCAGTGACCTAGACTAGTGCATATCAACCTCTGAGAACGTAGCATAGACTGTTTTCCTAGCATATTGAAAATGTGGCTTTTCTTATATTTGAAACAATCGGATAAAGTGAAATTCGCTCTATTTATTATTAAAATCTTCACTCCACGATTATTTAAATTTCAGGTGCCCCATACATTCACGCCAGAGATAAAGCTCGGCAGGAATTAGCTCTCTTGGTGGGCATCGCCCCACCCGAGTTGGAGACGAGCACAGACCGTCGGGATTCCAGTATTCTAGATCTATCGCTGTCCGACCAAAGTGTGATCAATATGAATGTTCCTAAATTGGATACATTGACAGCTGGTACTACAACTGCTGGACACGAACCGGGCCGATCCGGAACGAGCGCCGAGAAGATGAAGACACCGAGGGCTTCCAAGATCGACTACGTCTAACCAAGCATTCAATCTTAACGTTGACAAAATAAACGCGTTCGTGCCACATCTAATCGGTGTTTATAACAACTTCACCGTCAATTCCAGACGATACCACGCAATCCTATTACTCCTGTTTGCAGAAATCGGCATTTCTTAGTATTCTCGTTTTAAGTTGGTACATTCAGATTACAGCTCATTATATTTATTCTAAATATATGTGAAACATTCCACAAACTGTTCCGCCACTTGGAATTGTATAAATGAAATCATCCCTATGAGTTGTGTTCTCATTCAACGTACTAGATGGTGTCATGTCACCCGTTCGCGATCGTTTAGCAACGCCCAGGTTGTGCGAATCAGGGCAAAACAACTATGTTGATATCTTAACCCCAGACTGTTTGTCGAACGAGTTTCCTCTGTCAAGAAACAACTGATCAAAACGATGTACTGTTGCTGGAGGTGAGGATTCAGAGCAACTTTGCTCGGATAGATTGATCATGATCGCGCATCGGGGCAAGTGGTTGACTTCAGAATATTATGCTGGATAGGGAATATGTTACGCATGCTATCAAATAAGTTACCGTGGCGTGCTGTTTGCAAAGGCAATCGGTGAGTGGAAAAGAGTCATCAACCTAAGATCTGGCATGAGGGTAAGAAAACCCTGAAGGGGAGACTCGCTCACACAGATCGCGTTAGGCTTCCGGGATGAGGACCTCGGGAAGAGCGTAACCCATGATTAGACACTGAGTAATATGACAGAGTTATAAATGGCGACGTTCGTGTCTCTACTCATTTATCCTTGCAACCTCCACACTATTTTCAACACTCGAGTCTTCCTTCAGCCCCTTCACCCGAGATGGACAACCAACAACGCAGCACGGAAATGCATGGTTAATGGTTGTTCCAGCTGAAACTTAAATAATCTGCATGTCATTCTAGAGATAGGAATCTCCTCCATGTTGGATCGATGAAGAGTTGTGACGCCAAAAAACTTTCACGTATTACTAGTATTCGTAAAGGTGATGGACGGAATGATGCACTCCAATCGACAGCCTTCTGGAGATTTAACTAGTACGCATACATGAACTTCGCACAACGGCCCACCGATGCTTGCATATCAAATATGAGCATATGTAAAGGTTAATTCCGTTTGGCCCACATATGACGCCCGTTATTGAAATCAAAACTTCGGAAAGTATAAGTTCTCCGTAATGCGTACCGGTGTAAGCCATATTTACTCTCCTGACGTCAAACAGTAAACAACTAATGACAAGAGTCAAAATCCTCAGAGAATGAGAAGGTTCTAGCATATTTCACGTGTATACATTTATATACTGCTATAAGTAGTATATGAATGACGGGGCAAAAGTTTCCCGTTTCTTGCCGCTCGTGAGGCATGCGTGTCCGGTAATCTTTTGTCAGTTTGTATGAACTGACATACATACATACATACATATACTTGTAACCAGGAGGTATATTTTCGTCATCATAACGTCATTCGCAATACGGGGTATTTTTAAATGAACAACTTTTTCAGAGCCAGTCCATTGAAAAATCAACGCCATGATTCAATATTTGGTTGCAAGTGAGGTTCTTGTGTCGAAAATACACTTCCTGGGCACAAGTATGTGAATGGACTGACAAAAGATTACCGAATAAGCCTGACGAGTGGCAAGAGCAGCGAAACCGGGAAACTTTCGTCCAGTCATTCACATACTACTTATTACGGTATATATATATATATACATCAATTACTCAGTCCTTCACTGATCTTGACCATAGGGTGGAGTAAGAAGAGCGCAATAAGCGTGGGAATAAACTCACTTCAGTAGTTGATGCGATCGCTGCGCGAGCACTTTTCCGAGAACGGGATTAAACACTTACTACCGCATGACGACACTGTGATCCACGCTTCGGGGAACAGTGCTTCTCAGTCCCTTGTCACCCGGTTTCTATCAGCTACGAGAGAGTAAACCAGCAGGGCATTTCACTTTGTGTTGTCTCCTCTTAAGACAAGCCACACTGACACCTGTTCAGCCAACTCGGCTTACTGCGTGCGGGCGAGCAGTTGGACTGCCCTCCAAATTACTTTGCCTTGCGTTCACGACGCCTTCACTAGTTCTAGGTGAGCGAGTTGTCCATCTCCCAACTGGTTGCTGTTTTTTACCGAGAAATCGAATGAGGTGTAACAAATCTACGGAACAGTGCCAGGAAGAGGAGAGTTATTCATTTTGATTAACTTTGAGGGTATCGGTAAACTGGTAAACAAGCAACAAGATATCTCATTTGGGACAAGTATTCGGAGTTCCCACAACCACACAGGATAATTAATGGAACGGTCAGTCGGTAGATGCACATTTCCTGTTATCGCCATTTTGAACATGGCAATTTGCTCTAGGTCTTTTTCCTTTTTTTGATCGCTGAGGGGAAAGGTAATTATGCTCTTTTGCGTACTACAAAAATACCACTCGCGACAATGAAACAACTTGCAGTTGTTTACCGACACCAATGCACTTTCCACCTTAGACGCGTTTAGTTCAGTAGATTCTAATGTTTAAGCGAATAGAAGTCGTCTGTGTACGCTTCATANCAACTAAATCGAAATCAAGTAAGCCACCCGCTCCTCCATCCTCGCGCTCCGGTCAACTGACTGTATGCATTGTAACCGTCCAGTTGATTATTCGTTCATTAAGGCGTTAGTTACTCACGAATAAAGTTAAAATAAACAAAGTTATTCGCGTTCACAACCAACCCCCTCAAGCTACTCGACTCCCCGAGAACGGAATTCAAACACAGAAACCACATGTACTGTTATCTGATCTATAAAAGAGCAGTTCGTGGAAATCGGAAAAGGGTCACTTCATAATAAATGATCGTGCGGTTTTGACAAATGGTGACGGGAAGATTCAAGCCGTTTATCTCCACAAAGCAAATTAACACGATGGGTTGTCAACGGACAAGCACTGGTGTAGCGCACACATAAGTGGTGAGAAGACAAGTAAAGTGTGAACATCGC